TCTTCTCCACTCTTTAGAATCTGACTTCCAGCCCCTTCACTGAACTAAAAGTGCCCTCTCTGAAGTTTTGCTGATGATTTCTTCATTGCCATCTCTTGGCAGTTTTTTCCTCAGTCCTCATCCTTCTTTACCTCTCTGCAGTTTTTGACACTGTTGACCGCCTTTTCCTCTGAGATTCTGTTCTCTAGATTTTCATGACATTATTCTCTTCTGCTTCTCCTACCTGTCTGTTTTTTCTTAGTCTCCTTTGCTGGTTCATCATCCATATCATGGACTGTGGGTCGGTGCTGAGCCTTCTTGTCTTCTCTTTCTATATTCTCTTACTCTGTGATCTCGTCAGCTTATATAAAGATAACGTGACCCCAGTATCTTTACCAAGTTCCTGTCTCACATCATCTGCTACCTATTAGTAGACATTTCAAACTGGATGGCCCATAGACATACCAAGCTCAACATGTCCAAAACAGAAGTCATGAACTTCCCTGTTTCTGTCAAGAGCACAACCATACGTCTGTTCTCCCAGGTTTGCAATCTCAGAGTTATCCTCAGTAACTCATTCTCCACCCCACATAGCCGATCATTTTCCAAATGTTGGTTTTTATGTAAGTTCTCTTGCATTTTTTCTCTTCTCACTATTCATATATCTTCCACTGTAGTTTAAGCTCACATCACTTTTTTTGCCTGGGCTATGGAAATAGCCTCCTAATTGATCTGCCTACCTGGTTTCTCTCCATCCTCACAGCTGCCAAAACGATTTTCCGTAAGTGCTGGCCTGAGCGTGTCGCACCCCTATTCAATAAACTCAGTAGCACCCTTTTGCCTCTAGGACAAAATAGACATCTCCATGGCTTTCAGAGCTGTTTATAATCTTGCCCCAACCTACCTTTCCATATTTGTTATACATCACTGTTCTTCCCACACACAATCTGGTCTAAACAAACTTTCCTTTTTTCTTTTCCACATGGCAGTCCATCTCCTGTCTGTGTACCTTTGCACTGGCTGTCCCCCATGCCTCAAATATACTCTTTCCTCATTTTTACCGTGTAAAATCCCTTACTTCAGAGGTGAGGAACCTACACTTTGTGGCCTTCCAGATCCGTAAGTGCAGCCTTTTGACTGAATCCAAATTTTACAGAACAATTTTCTATAGAACATTTGTTCTGTAAAATTTGGATGTAGTCAAAAGGCTGCACTTAATGGATGTAGAAGGCCACCTCAAGGCAGCAGCTTCCTCACCCCTGCCTTACTTCCTTCAAGATTCAATTTGAGCCCTACCTTCTAAATGAAGCCCTTCCTGATCTCCCACCTGCTAATGTCCTCCCCCAAACTACCCTGCATTTATGTTGTGTTTGTTTTGTCCATATGTATGTCTGTGCATGTTGTCTCCTTAATAGAATGTAAGCTTGAGTGTAGGAATTGTTTGATTTTTGGTTTTATATTCTCAGCACTTAGAATGGTACCTGATGCCTAGGTAGATGCTTGATAAATGCTTGTTGATTGATTGATGCAACCATAGAAAGAACTTTATCCAACAATCCTGTCATCAATGTCAAGTACGGAATAGGCTGTTGTGTTGCTCCCCAAGGATCAAGGTCTGGACCTTAGGCCTAACTGAACCATATTTTGCTTCTAGCACAGCAGCTTCCCGTTTCTAGAATGGGTCCAGGGGACCTCGCTTTCATTGTCTAAGCTATCATAGAGCATCTGTCCTTATCCTTACTTGACCAAGAGTCCTTGGTACATCTCTGCCTATGCTTGAACACCTCTAGTGTGTGTGTGTGGGGGGGTCTTCTCTCTGTCTCTGTCTCTGTCTCAGGGTTAAGTCACTTGCCCGGGGTCACACAGCTAGTAAGTGTCTGAGGCTCAATTTGAAATCAGGTCCTCTTGATTCCAGGGGAGGTACTCTGTGTATCCACTTCACCACTTAGCTGTCCCTCTCACTTTCTCCTGAGGCAGTCCTTTCAACTTTTGGATTATTTTGATTGTTAGGGTGGTACCTATAACCTCACTTTCCTGGTGCCCTTGGGTCATGTGGCTTTCTTAAGCCTATGAAAGACATGTTACTTATTTATTATTCACTGAAAGGTTGCATTATCTGAGTTGCCCACAAAAAGGGCTCTGTAGTTGAGGCACCAGCCCAATGTCTTATCAAAGTCTCTGTCTTATGCATGAGATAGCCTTCCTAAAAGGCTGCGGTATCCCTACTAACTGCCAGCAGGCACTTGCTACATATTCTTAGATTGCTCCCTCCGCTACCAAATCTATAGCTGTAAGAAGAGCAATGGCCAGGTCCAGAATTAATCTTGGGCAGGGGTTCTTATTCTGGGATTCATGAAAAAAATGCACATATATGTATATGCACATACATATACACATATACATAATATAACATTGTATATAACTGTATAATATATAATGTAATTGTAATATACATTTCCTTTGCAATCTTTTGTGTTTCATTTATGCATCTAGGAACCTTATTCTGATAAGGCATCCATAGGCTTCACCAGACTTCTGAAGGGGCTCATGACAAACAAAAGTTAAAAATTCTTGATGTAGGGGATGCAATATAATATTATTCAGAATATTAAATTATAAAGTCTATAATCTATACACAGTTCTAGAGCCCCCATCTCATATTTGAACTTTATTGTCTTTGATCATGAATTCCCCCCACATTAATTAGACTTGGATACTTAACATACTATGATCATAAAGTTGTTTTTTTTAATAGTTTAAATAGAAGGAAATAGGCTAAATGCACCTATGTACAAGCCATTCACTTCTCGCTATGTCCTAAACCATGCTTCAGCTAAACATCACAGATCTTTGAGGATGGCAGGGGAAATTCCCAAATCATTCATACCTACCATCATGCAAAGGAATAAGATATGTCTGGGACCCGATCTCAAGACCATAGACTATAACAGGGGAAACCAGGGGAAGAGTGGTGAAATCGTTCTCTTCCCCTAGATCATTAGATGAATGAGAGTCATAATAGCTTTTACATTTAGTTCTTTGGGTCCTCCAGAATTACTGATCTTAAAATGTGTATTTCTAGCCTTGTAGGCCACTTCATAAGTTTGAGAGGTCAGGAATTTCTGGATCCCTCAGCTGGAGCTGACTAGACAGCTGGAGCTGAATAGAGTTTTCTGTACCTTCCTAGGAGAGGATGACAGGAGGGTAAACTCAAGTCCATGGACTTTGAGGGAGTTCTTTATACAGCATAGAACTGAAGTGAAAGTAAAATAGTCTAGCAGTCTCACAAAATGCTTCACATTTGATGTTTTAAACATCAACCTTCTAGGAGAGAATAATAGAAGCTATAGGTTACTATTTGATGTTTTAGGTCTTTGTTAAAGTGTGCTTATGAGTCTTTTTATGATTTAAGCATTTCTTTTGTGTGTAGGAAATAAATAGCTGTCCTATACATGTCCAACATTGTACATTGAATGCCTATCTGTTTCCTTTTGGAGAGACTCTAGACATGAAATAAATTTAAGCTTTGAGTGAGTTTCCCTGGGGCTCTGGGGTGGGAGTGTAAAGACCTTGAGAGTTTAAGAAAGAGTCTGAAACCTTCTCTCTTTAGAAAAACTCCCTAGGACCCTAGCTCTGGGCTCAGTCCATAGGACTGATTCTGGTCCATATGACCTCAGAGCTAGGGTCCCTCAGTGGAAGTAGGCCAGAACTGACCTGTATTTACAAAGAAATAATACACTAGTACCAAATAAATAGAAATGAATTTAAAAGAAATCCACTCAGTCCCAGGCAACTTGGCCCTAAACTTTGTAAGCCATTCTATCAAGCTATAGTTTTCTAGGCCAAATTTGACCCATCGTTATCCTCCCTGCACTTGACTTATTTAGATATCTTTGCTTCCAGGAGACCCCTGCCTAATTTAGGAATTTACCCAGCTGGGTGCTCTGAATTGAGGTCATCCTCTTGCTTGTCAACTGAAAGCTAATCCTCAACCAATCAGAAAGCTTTCTGATGGCACAGCTGGCTTATAGTACTCCACACATATTTGGATCATAGAATTTAGAGCTGAATGGATGGAGACTCAGAGATCATCTAGACCAGTTTCCCCATTTAACAAATAAATAAGCTGAGTCCCAGACAGGTGAAGGGATTTTTTCAACATTACATTGGTAATTAGTAGCAGACCTGGGATTTAAGCATAGGTCTTACTCCAAGTCCAGTGCATTAGGTAATTACTTGCTCATTGTATAATTTCCTATCCTCACCTCTACTCCAACTCCCTATACAATTAAGGAAATATAAAGAACTGTTTTATGGTTCCCATAATTCAGCCCAGCACACAGGTGATCTCCCAATTTGTCATCAGATACTCCTCTGCACTGCTACATAGGTGCATTTCATAAAAACAAATTATATATGGGTCTGTGGTTCCTGCTGGGTCTAGACTAGTGATTTTAATGGATCACTGGGGTTTTGCCAGCTTGTGTCAGGCATGTTGAATTTCTAAGTTACTGTTAGTTGTCTTCTCACACTGCAGCAACCCTGTCCTTGCTATTTTTCTCCCAATGTCTGAAGTTAATTGATTTATAGAACTTTACACCCTTAGGTGAAAGGCTCTTCCTGCAGAAATGACGAACATGATATTCCAAGGAGGTTATTCTGGTCATATGGCATGTGAGATTGCTTAGGGAATGCAAGTAAGGAATTATACCTTTAGGCATGTGTTTTGTTTAAGATCTTTATGGAAAAACCAAGTTTAAAATACATTAAGGGGAATGGAAGGTACCGGGAGATAATGGAAACTATCTGAAATATAAGGTCATGGAGAATGGTAAACGTTCACAGGTTTTCTAGTCATTGAGGATGGGAATATGGCAAGAATCTTTCGAGTCTGAATTATAGGCATTATGTATGTTTTGTTAATATTATCAATAAATATTTTCATTCGATACTTCTCAAAGCAGTAGGAAGAGTATTAAAATTATCTGTGAGGTAAATAGGATTTTTCTCCTCTTTTATAGGCATCATTACCCAAGAATACAAGCGATTGCCTGCTGGAGTTAGAGATGGACCTTGGGAATCCAAAGTTTCTGTTCAGTGTTCTATCACTTTAGAATCATGGAGTTAGACAGAACATCAGAACCCGTGGTCCAGACTGTATCTTAACAGGAATCCCTTCTGAAGGATGCCAGCGTGCTTGTCCAGCCTTTGCTTGAAGACATCTCCCCCCACATCTCAAGAAGTAAAACTTCTTGAGGCAGCCAGTTGCCCTTTTGGATTGTTCTAATTGTTAGCTTTTTCTTGAATCAAGGCCTAAATTTGCCTTTCCACAACTTCTACACATTGTTTCTAGTTCTGTCTTCTGAGCCAGTCTAATGCCTCTAACCTACTAGTCTAATAACCCTAAGTGCTCTTGTATCTGACAGCTCTTCAGATACAAGAAGACAGCCATCATATGCCTCCTCAGTTTTCCCTTCTTCAGGATATCTATCCCTAGTGCTTCCGTTAACGCTTATATTTCATGATCTCAAAGCTATTCATTTTCCTGGGTGCCCTTATCTTGATATGTATATATATATGTGTGTGTGTGTGTATATATATATATATATATATATATATATATATATATATTTTATATATATATATATTTCATATATATAGTTTTTGGTTTACTAATAGTCTAACTAAAATATAGTACCTAGAATTGAACAAAACACTCCAGATATTGTCTGACCACAGCAAAGCACAGCAGGACTTCTCTCTCCCTTGTTCTGGACATTATGCTCTTTTAAAGGGGCTGAGAGCACATTAGCTTTTTTGGCTGCCATATCAAATGCTGACTCATATTGAGCTTGCAATTCACTAAAGCCCCCAGATCTTTTTCAGGGGAAGTGTTGTCTGACAATGCTTCCCCCATCTTACACTTATGAATTCAATTTGTTTGAATCTAAGCATAAGACTTTACATTCATCTCTATTAAACTTAATATTATTAGATTTGACCTAACATTCTAGCACATGGTGAACCTTTTGGATCCCACCTTTGTTTTCCAATATGTTAGCTGTCCTTCCCAGTAGTGTGTTCCTTTAAGAAAGTCATTGATAAAATTGTTAAATAACACTAGGCAAAGAATAAGCTCCTGAGACACTCCTCTTAGAGACCTCCTTCCTAGTTGACATCAAGCCAGGAATACCTACCTAGTCTTTGGATCTGGCCAGTCAGGCAATTACAAGTCTACTGACCAGTACCATTGTTCAATCTACATCTATCTTGACCACACACACACACACACACACACACACACACACACCTTTGTTAAATGCTTTCCTAAAACCCACACAACGCTATATCTATGGTATATTTCTGATTAGCGAGTTCTGGTCAAAACAACCCTATTTTAAAAAGCAATAAAGTAAGTTTAGTATGACCTGTCCTTGATTAAACCATAATGAAATATTGTGATTACTTGTTTCTTTCCCAAATGTTTACTGTCTCTTTTATAACCCATTCCAGAATTTTGACAGGAATTGACATTAAACCCACCAACCTATCATATGAAATATCTATTTTCTTCCTGTTTTTGAAAATTGGGACATTTTTGTTTATGTGGTCCCATAATACTGCTCCTGTTCATCATGATTCCTCAAGATCGCTGCTACAACTTCAGCAATCATATCTTTAAATTTTTTCAGCACTTTGGGATATTGTTTAGCAAGATGAGGTTATTTGACTTCATTGAGGGCAGCTAAGTGCTCTCTTATTCATTTGGATTTCAATTTCCTCTTAATCATTTTTGTTCTGTCCTGAGGCTGTATATCACTCTACTTGAAAGAGAAAACAAGTACTTTCTCTTCTTTACCCACCATTGTCTTCTCACCCAAACCTGACTGATTAGTTGATTGAAACCAAGCAGGAATCCAAGCCCTTTTATTGTTGTTAGCATTTATTTGTGGCCTAGGCTATGTTAGGCTTTAACTTTCCTATCACAGTTCTTGCTAGACCTTGACATTTTTTTGTATTTGTCATTACTTTCACCTTTTGTATGTATTGAGGTGGATCTGGGATTTCATCATTGTGGGCACCCCCAGTAAGGATGGGTCACAGCCCATTCATGCCTGTGACTCCTATGCAGCATCTGTCCCCCGCCTTCTGTGAGTTTGCAGTTGGGCTCACGCCCACCATGCTGGGGGCTTGCTTTGCTTTCTCTGGATGTCACAGAGCCAATGGTGGAGCATGTTGGGGAACCATCTTTATCCTTCAATTTCATGAGGCAAGGAGAAATGCAGAATTGCCCTCCAGCCCTCTGCAGTTTCTGCTGTGATGGCCAGCATCTGCGTATAAGATAGGTTAGAGCTTAATATTTTTCCAAGTACTTTCACATACATTATCTCTTTAGAATACATTATCCACTTGCTTAAAACTCTCTGTTGTATGCCTTTTCCTGTAGGATAAAGCCCATATTTCTCTGCCTCATATTCAAGACCAGTCACAGTCTGAACTTTTCTTACTTCTCCAACCTTATCTCCTCCTGCTCCACTGTAAAAGCTTAATGGTTTGCATGACGTTGGTAGGTTTTTATGTCTAATTTTTTATGTGTACATGTGAGTTTACTGTTCCATGTACTTTTTGTATCTGCTTCTCCACTTCCTTTTTAAAAAAAATCTAAGTACCTATAGCAAGGTCTATTATAACCATTGGTTCATCAACCTAACATTTCACCATGCTTATTTGAAAGCTGGTCCCATTTTGCTTCTGAGAGAAGAGGAAAAGCTCCTTTTTGTTTGAGGTTTGGTCAGGTATGGATGTAGGGACAGTGTACTTGAAAGGACTTCATTCTTTTCTAGGCTCTTGACCCCAGTCTACTTGAACTTCAAAAATTTTAAAAGATTAAGGACAAAGCTGGTTCCTTTTTTCTTGTTGACTCTATCAGCCCTTCAGTGTCACCCTGAGAGACTGTAGCTATCCTGTGAGTCTGGGCCAATTTGAGCATAAGGATTTAGAACATGGAGAATTGCTTTGCTTATTAGTAGAATGGAAGGGTGATTGAATCCCAGGGGAAGGGAATCTGACAGGCAGCTGCATACTCAATGAGGATAGTGGAGACCTCTCTTTTCTCAACACTGGAAATGCTAGAGATGGTGATTAGGATAATTACTATTGTTGCCGTACATGTTAAGCATCTTTATAGCGTTTTGTAATCACTTATTAACTCTACCCCACCACAGCCCTAGATGATAATTCAGTATTGTTCTAGACAGATGCATTAATTAAGGACCAAGCCTCAGTAGCCATCTAACAATACTGCTAAGTGGGCTTAGCACCAGTCCAAGTTTGGGAATGTATTCTGGTGGCTCTGCTAATCAGTATTATTTTGGAAAATGATTCAATTACTAGGCCTCTGTATCCCTAGCTTTAAAATACGAAGAATATATTGACCTACATTAGAACATTTCTATGAGGATAGATAACAAAAAATTATAATTAAGGTGCTTTGCAAAATAAAAAAATGAGCTCTTACTGTCCAATAACAAAAATAACTCATTTTAATTCATGTACAACTCATGTATGAGCCTTCTGTGCCTTGATGCTATTATTCTAGTGGCTCCTGTTATTATAGCTTGGATTCTTAGAGGCATTCATTTAGAATAGATGTTGGGTGCAATAATTAGTTGGATATGTGGGTTCTCATGTTTATTTGTTATTGTTCAGTGACGTCTGAATCTACATGACAAAAGTCCATGGGTTTTTCTTGGCAAAGTTACTGGACGGGTTTGCCATTTCCTTCTCCAGTGTGCCCCCATTTTACAGATGAGGAACTGAGATAAATAGGGATTTAGTGACTTGCTCAGGGTCACACAGCTAGTAAGTGTCTGAAATGAGATTTGAACTCAGATCTTCCTGACTTCTATCCTGGTGCTCTATCCACAATATCACCTAGCTGCCTTCATATTTGTAGTCTGGGATTATGGAAAAGATTACACTGAGAAGAGAGGCTTACTGATTTGCCTAATGATTTTTGTATTGGGGATTGCAGGGGCCATAAGAAAGACATTCCTCCAGATGGCTCAGTGGAGGCATCCTCCACTGGGTGGAGGATGGGAGAGAGATATATTTTTAAATGAAGGTGATATAAAAACAAACATATCAGTAGGAATATACTTTAAAAAAGAGATTCTCCTAACTGGAACTCTTTAATCAAGAAAGCTACTCCTTTCATCTAAACACTTGGCTTTTTCTGGATTGAAGTGGAGATTTAAAAAAAATTTTTTTTAGGCAGTTGGGCTTAAGTGACTTGCCCAGGGTCACACAGCTAGTTAAGTGTCATGTTTGGTCTGAGGCTGGATTTGAACTCAGGTCTTCCTGACTTCAGGGCCAGTGCTCTATCCACTGTGCCATCTTGCCCTGAAGTGGAGTTTATTATACATAGTAAGAATACATCTTTAGTTCTCATCTTGTTATGATATAGAGTCTATTCTGGCTTAATTCTATAAAGAAATCTCTCTTTCCTTGGGAATTCTCAAAATTCAGTTTTAACCCAAGGCAGAGTTCTGAGACTGAATTAGCTGGAGCTGAGAAAATGAGTTAGAAGGCAGCAGATTTCAATGATACAAGTTGGAGAGAAACAGAAACCTTGGTCAGGGCCAGTGTTGAGCTAACAACACTCACCCCGAGTGACAAAACCAGAGAGAGGAAGTGTGGAGGGACTGTAGCCAGAGTTGGAGAGAGATGTCTGACTGTGGTGGGAGCAATAGGGTAACCTTTCCCCCTGTGCAAGTTAGACTAGTTTCTTCCCTGAAGTCTGTCAGTAAACAATTATTAAGTGTCTACTATGTGTCACATACTGCCAAATGCTGGGGTTACAAAAACAGATAAAAGACACTCCCTGCCCTCAAGGAGTTTACAATCTAACAAGCAAACAAATGGGTACAAACAAGCTATATAGAGGATAAATAAGAAACAAATAAGAGAAGGAGAGGCTCTGGAATTAAAAGGGATTGGGATTTAAGGGAAGGTGGAGGTAAGGAGGAATCCACAGGCTTTGGCAACAGATTGATTATGACTGTGAGAGATAGTGGTGAGTAGAAGGTGACACTTAGGTTTCAGGTTTGAGGGAGGATAGTGTTGTCCTCTGTGGTAATAGGAGAGGTAGGAGGCAGGGAAGGTTTAAGGGGAAAGATAATGAGTTCCATTTTGGACATGTTGACTTTAACATGTCCACTGGACATCCTGTTTGAGATGTCTAAAAGGCATTTGGAAATGTGAGATTGAAGGTCAGCAGAAAGTTTGGACGGGATAGGTAGGAGAATCATCAGCATAAAGATGTTAGGTCCATAGGAACTGATGAGATCATCAAATGAAGTGGTATAGAGGGAGAAGAAAAGAGGACCCAGGACCAATCCTGATGGACACCTATGTTTAGAAGGTGTGATCTGGAAGACCATCCAGCAAAAGTAGCAGAGAAGGAGTAGACAGAGAGGTAGGAGGAGGACCAGGAGAGCGTGTTGTTCTAAAAACCTAGATTAAAAAAGTGTCAAGAAGGAGAGGGTGA